TTGTGTAAACAGGTGGCAGCAGTGACCAGAGTTGCTTTTCATCAGCTTTGTTCCTTCCATAGTAGGAAAAATCTTGCCACTGTGGTGCGTGTCCTGGTAGCACCCAGGTTAGATTACTGCAGTAGGCTATATTTAGGGCCACTCTTGATGACTGTCTGGAAGCTACAATTGCACTCGCAGTACAGAATGCTGCAGCCAGAATTATGATTGGAGCAGGGCCCTAGATCTAGATTTGCTTCTGGGGCCAACTCAAGGCACTGGTAGTGACCTTTAAAGCCTTATATGGCTTGAGGCCAACAGACATTATAGGTTGCCTACTCCTATATGAACCTACTCATCCACTCCAGTCATCATTGGAGGCTCTTTTAATGTCTTGGTGTTCTATGGAAATATGTGCACCCTGTCTTTTTAAGGTGGTTTACAGAAGCAAAGATTACAATATATATGAATTAACAAACTATGTATTGAGCTGGACTTGGATTCAGCAGCAAGCTCATACAAAGGGCACAGGCTGTAGGCCAAAGGGCCAGGAGCACCCAAGGCCTCTGGCCACACCCAGCCTTTATACCTGCAACAGGAAGAGAAGAGCAAATGCTCAGGAAAATGTTACCGGTGGACAAGATATTCCTCCCAGTCTTTCCCTCCCTGTTGACGTAGGCAGGTTGCAGGCCCACAGCTACGGCGGGGCATGATGGGGCCACGCCCACTCAGTCATTTGTAACACTCCACTACCCCAACGCTGCCCCCAAAAGGTCCTTTCTCACCTCCCAGGCCAGCTCGTGCAGGAGTGCTCACCCGCTCTTCACCTCACACTTTTTCACTATAGGAGGCAAGCCAGCCAGTGCACTTTCCACTCTGCAACAGAGAGCGCTTACCCATCGATTCTCTACCGGGTCACCAGGTGCCAGTGCTCCCACATGAGCTGCCCTGGAAGGTGACATGCTGAGATCACCAATCCTCCCTGGCCAGGCGACAGGGCAGCGAGTGAGCAGATGAGGCAGGCAGGCTTCACTGCAGTCATGTGACGCCAGCACATGACGAGGTCACATGACTGCAGTGAAGTCAGCCTGCCTCTTCCGCTCACTCGCTCGACCTGGGAGAGGGAGAGCTGACGGGCTGGTGCAATTGATACTCGGCGAATATGTGCTCCATGCTACAGTAGTGGCTGTGCTACAGCCTCACCCACCCTCTACTGTAGCACAGAGCACATACTCACTGAGTATTAATCACACCGGCCGACCGGCTGGCTCTCCTCCTGTAGCAGCTGAGGCGAACAAGTGCGGCCTGTAGGTAAGGGCAGGGGCAGCGGGAATTGTGGGGCGTGGGCCATGAGTGATGGGGGAGGTGCCCCACCAGGGCTACACACCACTGAGGGCAACCCGTCTGGCCACTGCACAAAACAGGATACTGGACTAGATGGACCACTGGCCTGATCCAACAGAGCTCTTCATATGGATCATGTTTAAAGACATGATATCACAGAGAGAGAAACTCTTCTCTTTTTTCTCTCCTCTCGGGAACTCTGCTCTTTCAAGTAAAAAGTTTGTGGAGGTCATGATGCATTACCCTCTTTCTTGTACATTACTCTTCACCGAGGGCAGGTTGGTAAGGCCTAACCCCGATGCTTTATATGGCATAAAATTGACAGGCAAATAACAGAGCAATACAGAATTATTGAAAGCCCCTTCTTTGCCCTGAACGGCTTGTTCTATGTCATTTGTTTCTCAATATGGGATGAATATATGGCTGGAGGTCCTTTTATCCTAGTGCGAGATGATTCAGTGGCGAGAAAAGTCAAGCAGAAAAATAGGAAGCTAGCTCCTTATCTGACAGAACGGCGGCTTGTGCCTTTCCTGCCAGCCAGGATTCCAATCCACAGCTTATTCCCAGTTTGGAAGCCTGGTGCGCAGGGGAAATGGAGACCACGGCTTGTCAGTCCAGACCTCACTGCAAATGATGGATCGCTCTTGAATCCAGAAATCTCTCTCATGAGCCGGCCACATGCAAGGCAAGGCAGCAGCCCAGCCATCCTTCATGTTCATTTACATCCGAGTAAACCATTTGTTGCTGTTGCAGCTGAACCTTCTTGTCCGATCCCCATGGCGGGAAATGCAGAAGTTGTACTAGTTACAGGGCCGCCAAGAAGGGGGGCCTGCAGGACAAAATCTGGGGGAGGGGGTCCAAGTCAGCTGGAGGGCCCCAGAAGCCAGCGTCATGCTGGAGTCACTCAAATGCATCTAAAACAATTGTTTCCCTGATGCAGTTCTGATTGTAGCCACTAGGGGCACAGGGAACACAGAGTGGAGTAAAGGGCTTGCTGTTTCTGCAACGTTTACTAGGAGGCTGAGGGAAACCCTTGCTAACAGAAGGGGCGGGGAGATAATATTTCCCCATAATCTATCAATAGTAAATAATAAAAGGATGCCCCCCACCCTTTGTACACATGATGATAAATGCTAATCTGCCTTGTTGTTGTTCAGTCGCACAGTCGAGTCCGACTCTTCGCGACCCCATGGACAAGATCTCGCCAGGCCTTCCTGTCTTCTGCCGTCCTCTGAAGTTTGCTC